GTCCATGGGGCCTCCATGACCTTTCCTTGTACAGGTTGTGTTAGTTTCCCCTGTATTGTGTACTGTCTCACCCTTCACCCAAGATACCACTTGTAGGGATTGGCTTTTAAAGATCAATAAAACAGCTGGGGAGGAGGCATGGGAGGAGACATTTGGTGCAGAGTCCAAGTTCACAGATATGGATTCAGTTTGGGGATTCATATTGGACACAAAGCAAATGGCTATATGCAAGGAAGTTTGGACGTTTATAGCTGGTTCTACTATAAATATACCTGTATTTTAAAATATTTTATTATCAAAAGTCACATCATAAAAACAAGTGTTTAAATACAGTTAAGGGGATTGAAACTATAGCTTTTCAGGTTCACAATAATAGTGATTTTTCTGTACAATTTTAAAGCATAAAAGTTTTATGTCTTATTTTATTTGGCTCTAAGTTTATTTTAAGCTAAAAATAAAAACTGGTTTATTAAAATGGACAAAAAAAAAAATCCTTTCATCTACATACACAGAAGTTCCTCTGTCCCCTGTGTCACATTTGACTTTGAATTTACATGCATCAGAGCTGCCATGGAAAATTCTTTGATATCAACAGAGTGGCTGTCCAACCACTTAAATAAAGCAGCTGTGTGCATTTGCATTCAAAATAGTTTTCTTTTTTTTCCCCTACTTGTACAATATTAGTACCTGTTATGGATTGAATTGTGTCTTCCCAAAATATGTGTTGAAATCCTAACCCTTAAACCTCTGGGTATAATCTAATGTAATGTATTATAACATAATTACTTTCCATAATGCAATGTAATGTGATCAGTCAATCAGTAGAAGTTCTGCCTGTGTAAGTGGATCCTAAACCTAATCATTTCTGAGTTATAGAAACAGCGACATAGACACAGAGAAACACCCACACTGGGGGAATGACACTATTTGACAACAGAGGTAGATGAATCTACAAGCCCAGGAACTCCAAGGATTGCCAGCTACTAGAAGCTGAAATAGACAAAGGACTTCCCCCTAGAGTCACATCCTTAATACAAACTTCTAGCCTCCTGAACTATGAAAAAATAAGTTTTTATTCTTTAAAGCCACACACTTGTAGTACAGCTAGTCCCCAACTTACAATGGGGTTCCGTTCCAACGACTCTGTCTTAAGTTCATTCTGACGTAAGTTGAATACTTCTTTGTTTTTTTTAGTTTTCATTATTATTGCCTTTTATTATCAGTGTCTTTATAAATCTGGTCGTTGTTTGTCTTTGGGGGTTGGAAATCTTACGTATAAACTTACAGATATATCTTAATAATACATATGTACATAAAAAAATATGCAAATTATAAAAATTTACTCCAATGAAGAAGAAGAGTTGGACGACGTTGGCATTTTGTTAGTTGCAGCAGTAACTCCACTTGTGGAAGGTTCTGGATCGTCTGGTATATCCCTGGGTGTGGGGATGGTGTTTCTAGTCAGAAAATTAATGTGAGTTGTCTGTATGATCCTTTCTTTTTTTTCTTCATGTATTTCACAGTAACATCTCACTGCTTCCCGAATCTGCCTATTGACTTTAGCAAAGTGATCAGCATTTGGGTCCATGTTTTCAAGCAACTGAAGCCCCTGATTAAGTTTAGAAAAAACTTCAGCTAATCCTTTCTCTGTAAAAAAGTTTTTTTAAATAATTTGTTGTGCTTTAGGTGAGAGTTTACAGCACAAATTAGTTTCTCATTCAAAAATTTATACACAAATTGTTTTGTGACATTGGTTGCAATCTCTGCAACGTGTCAGCACTCTCCCTCTTTCCCTTTATACACCAGCATCCCCCTGTGCATTCATCCAGGTTTCCTGTCCCTTCCTACCTTCTCATATACCTGGCTCTTGTTTCTTGATGGTATGAGGTCCCCCTGTCTCTCTGTTCCCTTCTCTCTTTTATATTTTGAAAGAGATTGGCTTAAGACACAATCTAATCTTGTAGATTGAGTGCTGCCTCATTAACACAACTGCCGCCAATCCCACCTCATTAACGTCATAGAGACAGGATTTACAACACATAGGAAAATCCCATCAGTTGAAAAAAGGGTAGACAGTCACACAACACTGGGAATTGTGGCCTAGCCAAGTTGACACATATTTTTGTAGAACACAGTTCAGTCCATGACATTCATTCCATCCTTTGGCCCCCAAAAATTCATGTCCTTGCCACATGTAAAACACATTCACCTCATCATATCATAGCAAAAGTCTTAAATCAACTCCAAGTCCAAAATCCAAAAATTCTTCTTCATCTGTGAAATATAGAATATAAGTTATCCGCTTCTGAAGTACAGCGGTGGAACAGACACAAGGTAGACGTTTCCATTACAAATGGGAGAAACTGGAGGGAAAGAATGGATAACAGGCACCAAGCAAGTCAGCATAACACATTACATTAGTCTCAAGGCTTGAAAATAATCCTCTGTTTTCTGAGACCATTTACACAATAGCCCTGCCCTGTAGACTCTAGGTATTAGCTACACTCTCTGGAATCTGAATGGAGGCCCTTTGTTCCTGGACTTCAGCTGCACCTTCCAGGCCCACTGGGATAGCCACTCTGCTCCCTGGGCTTTATGTGGCCCCATTCTCCTAGACCATCTGAGTGGTGACTCCAATCTTATAAACTCCAGAGGGCATGGCTCCACCCTTTGAAACTCCAGAGGTCGTGGCCCTACCCTTCGAGCCTGAAGCAGCTCTGCTTCTTGTGCTCCTTGTCTCTTCAGCTTCTGCTTCCTGGTTCCTTGGCTTCTCGGCCCCTCGGCTGGCGTCTGCCATGCTTAGGCAAGTGTTCCAAAGCTCTTTAGCTCCACCGATAAGTGCCTGGAAGCACCCTACTCCGCCAGTAAACTTTAGCCAGAAAGCACTCAGCTCTCTTTCTCCATGGCTCAGCAATCCTGACTCCACTGATAAATGCTCAGAGGCACCCCACTCCACCAGGAAGTCTTCTGCGCAAAGGAACTCAGCTCTCTTGCTTCATGGGTTGGCTCCAGCGCTGTCTCACACTGGTCCCCTGATTCTGCTGCTGCTGGTTCTCTGCCACTGCCGGTCCTCTGCTGCTGCCATTTCTCTGCTGCTGCTTCTTGAAGTCTGTGCCATCTTCAGTGTAACAGCTCTCTTCACTTCTTTCTGAGTCCTCACCAGAATTGTCTTTGATGTCCATAATTCCACCAACAGTCTCTTCAAGGCAATCTAGGCTTTTGCTGTTAGGCACTTAAAACCCTTCAAGCCTCTATCCTTTCACAGTTTCAAAACTGCTTCCACATTTTAGGTATCTGTTAGAGCAGCACCCTACTCCTAGTACCAAAATTCTATCTTATTTATCTAGTGCTTCAGCCTTGATAAATTGTTTAGGTTTTCTCTATTATAAAGTTACTAGTTTTTGCTTTGTGATGAATAAGAACCTTGTGAGAAAAAACCTTGAAACTATCCAAATATCTTGCTTCTTATCATATTTTGCCCTAATATTTGTGGCATACGTTGATAATTCTTGACCTGTAACAATTGTTACTGTGGTGTTTATCTAATAGTGATTTTCTGTTTCCACCATTCCTCTTTCATTCATTAATTAGAATTCTACTGTAATGAAGAACTAGGCCTTCCTCCCATTTATTGAATTATACTTTATTAGATATGAATATTATAACTTCCACTTTCTTTTTTTATATATTTGTTATATCTCTGTTCACCTATTTATTTATTTTGCCTAAGTTATTTTATTTCAGTTGTGTGGCTTATGCATGTTGTTGTTGTTAGGTGCCATCGAGTCAGTTTTCAACTCAGTGATCCCATGTAACAGAATGGATCTGTTCCCTAGGGGTTTCTAGGCTGTAATCTTTACGGGAGCAGATCGCCAGCTCTTTCTCTCATGGAGCCTCTGGGTAAGTTTAAACTGCCAGCTTTATGGTTAACAGCTAAGTGCTTAACCATTGGACCACCAGGGCTCCTCAAGACTATGTGAAATCTTTTGTTTCTAACCCAACATGAAAGTCTATCTTTCAAAGGGAAATTTGCATGTTTTTTTTCCTTTTATCTTGTTTCACACTTTTTGTTTTATATATGTCTTCGTTATTCTCAACATCTTTCCTTACCTCCCAACCCCCTTCATTAATTTGGAAGGCATCTATGTGTATGTGTATTTTAATTCTAAATTTAATTCTTACTCCCTCACTTAGGTCTTTACCTACTGTCACCCTCTAGGTAAGGGTTTGTTTTAGAGCTTTCAGTCCCCTAACGTGTCCAACACCTCTTCTGCCTCTTTTTTCAATCAAAGCACTTATGACTATCTAAGATACTTTATATTTAACTTACTTATTGATCTTTTTGATTGTCTCTCTCACCCAGTAGAAGATAGACTTCCTGAGGACAGAGATTTGTGTCTGTTTTGTTTATTGCATACCCTCAGCACCTAGAACAGAGCCTGGCACACCTTAGGTGACCAATGAAAAGGGCAAAGAATAAATTATTTAATTTCAAGCATCTGTTTCTCTAATTATCAGTGTCAGGTATGGAACAGTATCGATTTGTCTTTCTCAATATTTATCTTTACTTTCTCTCATTATTCCCCCCGCACCTTCTGGATAAGGAGCCCTGGTGACGCAATATTAAGCTGTTAGCTGCTAACTGAAAGGTCTGCAGTTTGAACCCCCCAGCCACTCCAGAGGAGAAAAGACCTGGAGATCTCCCATAAAGATTTCAGCCTAGGAAACCCTTTGGGGGAGTTCTCTCTCCTGTAGGGTCACTATGAGTCGGAATTGACAGTACACAACAACAACACCTTCTGGATCTTGGAGATATAATGTGGAATTTTCTATTTCTTTTCTTTCTGTCTGTCTGCCTTCCTTCTTTCTTTTTTATTTTATTTGTAATTTAAGGGAATATACTATATGAGAGAGTAAGATATCCATGTTCATGTCTTCTTAGCTAAAAGTTCCAAAAATTCTTTCTTTAATTTTACAATTAAGACTTTTTATCAGTGCTGTTTCTCTGCTGGTCATTATTTTATCTAAATTACTGGTGTTTAAATTTTTAAATATTTGAGAGATATTTATGGTATTTCTTCTCATTGCATTTTAATTATGTAAAAAATATAGGAATGCATTATTCTTCTGAAAACTAGACACATTACAGAATTCTCCTTTGATCACCATCTCTAATCCTGGTCTCATCACTCACTTCTCCTTTATCAAATATGTTTTTTAGGTAAAGTTATAGTTTGTTTCTATAGTTTATTCAAAATTGTGGTAGTTCAAAGACTGTAGTTTTGTAAATGAAACAGAACCCTTCTATTTAAAGGTATTTTATTTTTCAATATTTATTATGTATTCAATTTAAATGTGCTCACCATTATGCTAGGCACTTTGAAAGTATAAATTGAGTATTAGATATGTTCCGTGCTCTCAGTGAGCGTTCAGTCACAGAGAAATAAGGCATGCACACAATAATGAGAAAACAATAAAACAGGACTATCAGTTGTCAAAATAAAATAAGTGAATGAGTTAATAAGTGTCACTGACCTTAAGAGATTACAGATGGTTTAATGAAAATAATTTATCTTAGCATTGACCTTGAAATTGAAAAACAAATAGCTCATTTTAGATTTGGAAAAATCTGAAACAAATGCTTAAAAATAGGAATAAGTATGTGTTCTTGGCATAGTATACAAAGACCAAGTACAGATAATTTTATATACACAGAGTTCAGATTCATGTTCTAAAGCACTAAGACTTTTGTATTTAACTTTGAAGCAATGTGAAAACTAAGACTTTTGAATGGATGAGGGGAAAGAGGAACGTTATTTTAGGAACTTTAATTGGGCAGCATTGTGTCATCATTAATCACCATTATTAGATTAAAGATGAAAATGCTGGTCAGAAGCTTTATTGTGAATACATAGTTTGTTTGGATGAATATGGATGTCTGTATGGGGTAGGAGGGTGGTAACACCACAGAATACATTTTGTTTTCATTTCTTAAGTTTGGATAATTTATTGATGACTTTCTCATTTTTACAGTGTAAAAAATATTTTGCAGAATAAGTAGTATTTGAAAGCTGTTACAATGGAGAATCTTATGGCTATTCTCTGAGAAATAGGATTAATTTTCAGTTTTTCTTATAAGCGTACTGGTTTTAGCTTGATTGTCTTCTTTAGATGTTTTATGACCAACTTAGAATGTTAATATTTAGATAAATGAAATTTTTATACTGTGTTACAAAAACTTTCACAGTTATGACTGCAAGTAGAATAACTATATGGAATCACTGTATTATCTCTTTATAAGAGAATAATATAATGCTTTATTTGGAAAGTTTTGCCAAGATATGAGACTATATGCTATTTATCAAGCTAAGTAAAAATATGATAATATAACTGCCTTGGTAGGAAGAACACAAAGTTTCTACTTCATAATAATATGTGTATCATAAAAGAAGAGTGTGAGGTCATTTTCAAAGTTTTTGGAATGTCTGTGTTAAGTGCTTTAGGGATACAATAAAGGCCGAGAAAGAAAGACAATTGAAAGTTTCTTGGACTCATCCTCTCATTTCATTAATAATGAAAATAATTCCTCTCAAATTTGGGTGTTAATGTAAGAACATACTTTTGAATGGCAAACACTATTGTAAACTGCAAGGATTTTGTAATGCTATTAAATATTTTCATATTATTTTGATTTGGACTTATTGATTCAGTGTTCCTTTTTACCTGTTGTTATATTAAGATTTTTGAACATCCTTGCTTAAAACAAAATTGCTTCATAGTGGGTTATAAGTTAATATTAAAAGAATATGCTCCCTTAAACATTGTTGAGACATTTATAAGAATATGGGTACTTTAGCTTATATGCTGCATTAATAATGGTTAAAAGTATGATCCTACAGGCAATTTCTTTAAACAGATAAAACTGTTAGGGTACTTTCCCAAGATGATGGGATTGCCCTCCAGACGTATCTCCTCAATACGGTCCCGAATATAACGTGCATCATTTGCCTTACAGAAGGTATCATCTGTAATTGAAGTTATGTTGTTAAACTGGAAAATAAAAGGAAAAAGAAAGTTCAGAAATCTGAATTCAGGCCCTTTTAAGCTATGTAATGGGATCCTACAGAGTATTTTATCTAAAAAGTGATCTTTAAATTTTGTACATACTGTCTTCTCATGGCAATAAAACCTGTGTAATCTGTGCTTCCTTTTTTTTTTTTTTAAGTATAAATATAAATAATATACTAGTTGAAGAAAGTATGCTATTCTAGAGTGTTAACTCAAAATGGATACTGTGTCCTTATGGGTACTTTAAAAAAGTAAAAAGAACAAATAGGTATTCTTGTGATGCTGAGACACCAATTTTAGTTTATTTTCATTACCTCTTCACTTTTGTATTACCTCAGGTTGGTGTTAAAAAGTCAGTTGAAAAGTTTCCCAAAGCAAATGTTTACTGCTCTTTGGAGAAAGAAACCTATATCAGAGATCTTAGTGCCCTGACTTCAAATTCATGTGTCAGACTAAGTAGGAAATGCTAAGTGCATACCTAGAGAGGAACCCACTCTGAGGAGCAGAGACCTCCCACCAGACTCTTGCTGGTCATTGGAGACATTCTGGAAAGAACTGGGCTTTTGGACAGGAGATTACATTAATGTTTAATTACTAATCAAATGACGCATTGCATTGGGTAAATCTGCTGCAAAAGACTTCTTTAAAGTGTTAAAAAGCAGTGATATCACTTGAAAGACTAAGGTGCACCTGACCCAAGCTATGGTATTTTCAAGCACCTCATATGCATGCGAAAGTTGGACATGAATAAGGAAGACCGAAGAAGAATTGATGCCTTTGAATTACGGTGTTAGCGAAGAATATTAAATATACCGGGGATTGCCAGAAGAACGAACAAATCTGTCTTGGAAGAAGTACAACTAGAATGCTCCTTAGAATCAAGGATGATGAGACTATGTCTCATGTACTTTGGACATGTTATCAGGAGGGACCAACCCCTCGAGACGGACATCATGCTTGGTAAAGCAGAGGATCAGCGAAAAAGAGGAAGACCCTCAACGAGGTAGATTGACAGAGTGGCAGCAACAATGGGCTGAAACATAGCAATGATTGTAAGGATGGCACAGGACTGAGCAATGTTTTGTTCTGTTGTACATAGGGTTGCTGTGAGTCAGAACCAACTCGACGGCACCTAACAACAACAACGATGAAATATTAATACTTTTGGTATTTGTTTGGCTTTTGCACTGCCACAGAGGGCAGTGGTGCTTCAGAGTAGAGTTCTCACTTTCCATGCAGGAGACCCAGGTTTGATTCCTGGACGATGTATGTCATGCTTAGCCACTATCAGTCAGTTAGTGGAGGCTTGTGTGTTGTATGTTTCAGCAGAGCTTCCAGACTAAGACAGACTAGGAAGAAAGGCCTGGTGATCTACTTCCTAAATCAGCCAGTGAAAACCCTACAGATCCCAGTGGTCCAATCCTGTTGTGCATGGGGTTGCCATGAGTCAAGGCAGCTAACAACAATCACAGTACCACAGTAATCTAACCAAAATTTACATATGAATGAGCCATTTTCCTAATTGACCCCTATTGTGAAAGGAACAATCATACCTGAAGATGAATTACTCGGAGACTTTCTGGTAAATTAAGAGGCACAGATTCCAGGGCATTGTGGTCCAGGTAGAGGAAAGTGAGGTTATTCAGTTTCTGCAAGGAAAAGGTACTTTTGCTTGAATGTTATTGGGATCAGTGCACTTCTTCACAGGATTCAAGCTATATGTACATATGTATGTTGATATATATGTACATGTATATATATATACATACATGTTGTTGTTGGATGCAGTTGAGGTGATTCCGATTCATAGCGACACCATGTGACAGAATAGAACTGCCCCATAGGGTTTCTTGGCAGTAGTCTTTATGGGAGCAGATTGCCAGATCTTTTCTGCTGTGGAGTGGCTGGTGAGTTCCAGCTGCTGACCTTTTGGTTAGCAGCTGAGCACTTAACCATTGGGCCACCAGGGCCCTTATATATATATGTAGGTGTTGATATATACCCATATCAGTAGTGCTGATCGCTGACATGGTAGTTTTGTTTGTTTTTATAGTTTCACAAGTAGTGTATTTTTGAGTCTTTATGAAGGCCCATAGAGTGCTGCTGCACATTTCACATTTCTATCCATTCTTCTGATCTCTGAAGACCTAGTTTATACCAGACCTTCAACCTTGATGTGCTTTCGAATTGTGTTGTGGGGCAGCTAGTGAGGTTAGTTTCTAGACAGGATTGAGTTTGGAACCTGGTGCTGCCATAATCTCCTGAACCTCCAAAACTTCCCATTTCACTCAGCTCCACAAATTTCTAGAAAAGTGTATACTCCTAAGGGATGTGTGTGCTTAGTAAGATATTTCCCCAAGCAATTTATTAAACACTAAACTGGGTATGGTTTTTTCTTTTGGGGCTATGTATTGGATTACTCTTCATGATCAGTAACTTGTTATTATGTGTAATTTTATAATACGTTTTCAAGATGTAGTTTCCGCTGACATTAACCTTTTACCTTACCTTTGATATGCATCCTGTATCAGATTTCCTGACACTCTTCTGCTTAAGACAGGATTCTTTTTAATCTTTTCTTAAGCAGCATATCATTCCACCATAAGGGTACCACACCTCCAGTTTTTCCCAGTTGGACCTCATTTAACATAGGTTAGAGCAATCCCATTGTACCAGTTGCTGTTGCAGCCTAGAGCGTTAGGCAAAACTACAAGGTAGCCAAGTTTATAATTTCCAAGCTAACTTGTCACGTGATACTTACTTGTAATACATGTCTAACATCCAAAATATTGAAATACTCCTTTTTGTAAAATGTTGATCAGCTCTTGTGGGTCTTTTAACAGGTGAGGTTTCAAAGATTTACTGACTCCAATTACGTATCTTCATATTTAAAGTTTTTTTTTTTTTTAAAGATAGTTCCCTTTAAAAAAATCCCTTAACTCAGGAATCCTTTAATCCCTAAACATCAGGGAACTCTGATATTCTGTTAGAATGTTCCTTGAATTTGAAAAGAAATACTTTAAAGGTTTTTTAAAAAGAAGAAAGGAATATTTTTACATTTCCTGATAGAGTGTATATTTGTGGAGAAGCCTACTTTGGACAAGTCTTTAGGAAAGACCAATCGCTAGAAAAAGGATGTCATGGTTGGTAAAATGGGGGTCAGCGAAAATGACAGAAACCTTTAATGAGATAAACTGATGCAGTAGCTACAACAATGGACTCAAACATACCAATGATCATGAATATGGCATTGGACCAGGCAACGTTTCGTTCTTCTATACGTAAGGTTGTCATGAGTCAGACCAACTAGATGGCAACTAACACCAATAAACTTTATGATTATATGAGTATTCATTTGATAGTTTTATATACTCCTATAAGGAGTTATCATTAGAAGCTTCAAACTTTGTCTTTTGGATAAGGTTATGTCTTTCACCAACAATAGCATGATCATCTAATCTCTCATTTTGAGTTTCTTTCCAAGACTGGGAATAATTAGAGCTATAGATGTCCTGAACTGAAGTGATCACTTCCTTGAGGCAGTGCATTTTGAGATAACTGATGGTCTAACTTCCCTTTTTCCTGTATGTAATATTGTCTTGAATTATTAAATTAAAAAAATGTATTTAGTTCTTACTATATTTGGAATTTTATGTTATATGCCATCATGGAATTCAAAAGAAAAGTCTGCCTAAGAATTTTACAGTCTAATATATTTAAATATTAAAAGTCAAATTTATTTTGGAATTAGTAAATTCAAAAAAAAAATTTTTGAATTGTACTTTAGGTGAAGGTTTACAGAACAAATAGTTTCTCATTACACAGTCAGTATGCATATTGTTTTATGACATTTGTTAACAACCCCATGACATGTCAACACTCTCCCTTCTCAAACTTGGAGGACCTTTTTTCTTTTTTGGTGAAAATATACATAGCCAAAGATACACCATTTCAAAAATTTCTACGTGTACAATTCAGTGACACCGATTACATTCTTCCAGTTGTGCTGCTATTCTCAGTATCCTTTTCCAAATTATTCCATCACCATTATCTTCAACTCATTGCCCCCTAGGCTTCCCATTAAACCTTTTGAGTTGCTGTTGTCAATTTGATCTCACATAGATAATTCTTTTTTTTTTTTTTGTACTTTAGATGAAGATTTACAGAACAAAGTAGTTTCTCATTAAACAGCTAGTACACATATTGCCCTATCACAATGGTTAACAACCCCATAACATGTCAACACTGTCCTTTCTCAACCTTGGGTTCCCTATCACCAGCTTTCCTGTCCCCTCCTGTCTTCTAGTCCCTGTCCCTGGACTGCAGTGCCACATTAGTCCCATTTTGTTTTATGGAGCTGTCCAATCCCTCTGTAATTTGTAAATTTTATAAGAAAAAAGAAGCAGAAAAATTCTCATTTTGGGTTTTTGCTAGACTTTAAGTGTCATGCGAGTGCTAACCATGTTTGTGGAAACAAACATTTTCTGTGTAAGTAAGTGAAATCTGGGATGTGATTTTTCTTTGACTACTTCCGTGAAACAAGATAAAGATTATGTATTTTACTTGAAGTACAGGCATAAGTTAGGTTAAACTAGCCTAATAGCTTGGTTATTTATTATATAAACAATTGCTTCATTATTAAAATAGTTTTGTTTTTAAAATATTTTAAAATGCCTTAATTATTTAAAAATATAATCAAAACAGAATTCTGGACCAAAGTTTCTCTTCGTTTTATCATATTATTATTAGCTGTATAAAACTGATTTTGCATTCAGTCATATTCTAAAATACTTACTTTGAATGTGTTTGCTTTAATTCCTCTACTCTTGATTTTGTTGTATTTTGCATTAAGTAAAGTAAGCTTGGGAGGAAGAGCTGGAAGTTTCAATAGTTGGTTTTCAGCAAGTGAAAGTTCTTCTAATAGAGAAAGCTTTAAAAAAGTACCGTCTTCTATCTCTTGGATCAAATTTCCCGTAAAATCAAGTCTTCTTAAGTTAGCTTGAGGGGAAAATATACAGAAAATATGCAAAAATAAATAAATAAATAAAGTTACATTCTCATTTATGTGGAATGAAGAAAAACATTTATTTAACAGATCATTCAAAACATCTTTTATTTGTAGTGCCTAATAGAGTGTCTGCAATTAGTAGCTAGGTAATTTTTGGTTAATGAATTCTGAGCATCTACCTTCAGGTTTGGAAGGAATCTTAAAGTTAATAGAGTCCCTCCAGACTTCTATGTCTGAATTCCTCAGGAATTCTTGCTGCAAATCATGCAAAGTAATCATTATTTTTGGTTGAATAGAATCATAAATATTTTTGGATTTTTTGCCAGCATTTTGCGTTGTGATTGTGGGTATTTTATTTTAATCTTGCTATGCCTTTTGCTTAACAGCAACAAAGACAAAAATGTTCCCTGATTTGTTAAAGTGGTACAGACTGAGAGACAGAGAAATTCAGTGTGTGTACCACTTTTGTCTGAGATAATTAGAATATACGTTAGACAATAATTGGGAGCTATCAGTAGCAGATGGGTCCAGTTATGGTTTATCTCATAGGTGTGTAGTGCGGCTAGCACACAAATTTTTGTTGTTGTTGTTGTGATTTTTTTCAGAAATACTTGGCAACATAAATTGTTGCCGTCAAGTCGATTCCAACTCATAGCGACCATAGGATTTCCAAAGAGCAGCTGGTGGATTTGAACTGCCAACCTTTTGGTTAACAGCCAAGTTCTTAATCACTTCACCACCAGAGCTCCAGCTTGCCAACATAGGAGTCTAGAAAACTGAGAAGAAATTGATAATGCAGAAATGGGAGTTCTAGGGCAGTCACAGCAATACTCTAGTGGCAAACTGTTAAGGTTTGATAGGAAGCCAGGAGTCCAAGATAGTTAATGAGCTGAGAGAATTGGAAGGAGTTAAATAACTGCTCTTCTCAGCCCTAGTTCCACATTAGAATCATCTGAGGAGTTTGTGGTGGTTGCTTTTAATGCTGGTGCCTAAGCCTTACTCCAGACCTGGACTAGAATATATGGGGAATAGGGCCTGGTCTCAGTATTCTAAAAGTGCTTCCCCAGATATTTTTAATATGCAGTTAGGGTTAAGAACCATGAGTTAAAGTAAGGAAAAGCAATGTCTGTGATTTTATGGTATAAATAGAAAATAAAACATTGTGATTGAAGAAGCATCGCAATTATATCAGTGCTGCTGACAGGCTGAGGCAAGTAGATCTGGAAGGATTGAAGTTGAGATCACATAGTTGCCCATAGTGATAGATGGGCTATCAACCTAGACGCTGAAGTCACCAGTTAAGGAAGATCACAGGGGACATATGAATGGAAAGAAAATTCACCAAGAAACGAATTTACTTTTGTAAAGTATAGTAGACACTTAAATACTCCAACAGTGACAACCTCGGATGTGATAGGCCACAAATACCTAGAAACCCACAGTTTTTACCAACATTAGTTGAATACTAATATCTTATTTAAAATTAACTTACGTATGTCTGCAAAATCTTTGGCAGTCAACTTTTTAATTTTGTTGAATCGTGCATAAAGGTAGGCTGATTCCTTTGGCAAGGGTGGTACAGCATCAATGTCAACTTCTTCACAGTATACAGAGCCAAGTAAACAAACACACAGCAGGCATGTGGGCATTTCTAAATTGGGAAACATAATCATAAAAGTAAAAAGTTTACAAATTTGGTCCCTTGTGGTAAAATTATTGCTATCGTGAATACTAGTTGTTGTTGTTAGGTGCCGTTGAGTCAGTTCCGACTCATAGTGACCCTGTGAACAACAGAAAGCAACGCTGCCCATTCCTGGGCCATCCTCACAATCACTGTTATGCTTGAGCCCATTGTTGCAGCCACTGTGTCAATCCATCTTGTTGAGGGTCTTCCTCTTTTTCGCTGACCCTATACTTTACCAAGCATGATGTCCTTCTCCAGGGACTGACCTCTCCTGGCAACATGTACTAAGTAAGTAAGACATAGTCTCACCACCCTTGCTTCTACAGAGCATTCTAGTTGTACTTCTTCCAAGACAAACCTGTTCATTCTTTTGGCAGTCCATGGTATATTCAATATTCTTCGCCAACACCACAATTCAAAGGCGTCAATTCTTTGGTCTTCCTTATTAATTGTCCAGCTTTTGCATGCATATAAGGCGATTGAAAACACCATGGCTTGGGTCAGGCACGCCTTAGTCCTCAAGGTAACATCTTTGCTTTTCAACACTTTAAAGAGGTCTTTTGCAGCAGATTTGCCCAACGCAATGTGTCTTTTGATTTCTTGACTGCTGCTTCCATGGGTGTTGATTATGGATCCAAGCAAAAGGAAATCCTTGACAACTTCAGTCTTTTCTCCATTTATCATGATGTTGCTTATTGGTCCAGTTGTGAGAATTTTTGTTTTCTTTATGTTGAGGTGTAATCCATACTGAAGGCTATAGTCTTGGATCTTCATCAGTAAGTGCTTCAAGTCCTCTTCGCTTTCAGCAAGCAGGGTTGTGTCATCTGCATAATGCAGGTTGCTAATGAGTCTTCCTCCACTCCTGATGCCATGTTCTTCTTCATATAGTCCAGCTTCTCCGATTATTTGCTCAACATACAGACTGAATAAGTATGGTGAAAGGATACAACCCCAACACACACCTTTCCTGACTTTAAACCATGAAGTATCCCCTTCTTCTGTCCGAACAACTGCCTCTTGATTTATGTACAGGTTCCTCATGAGCATGATTAAGTGTTCTGGAATTCCCATTCTTCACAATGTTATCCATAATTTGTTTTGACCCACACAGTCAAATGCCTTAGTATAGGCAATAAAACACTAAACATCTTTCTGGTATTCTCTGCTTTCAGCCAGGCTCCATCTGACATCAGCAATGATATCCCTGGTTCCACATCCTCTTCTGAATCTGGCCTGAATTTTTGGCAGTTCCCTGTTGATACACTGCTGCAGATGTTTTGGAATGATCTTCAGTACAATTTTACTTGAATGTTATATTAAGATATTGTATGATAATTTCCACATTCGGTTGGATCACCTTTCTTGGGAATAGGCATAAATATGAATCTCTTCCAGTCAGTTGGCCAGGTAGCTGTCTTCCAAATTTCTTGGCATAGACAAGTGAGCACTTCCAGTGCTGCATCCGTTTGTTGAAACATCTCAGTTGATATTCCGTCAATTCCTGGAACCTTGTTTTTCGCCAGTGCCTTCAGTGCAGCTCAGAGTTCTTCCTTTAGTACTATCGGTTGCTGATCATATGCTGCCTCTTGAAATGGCTGAACATCGAACAATTTCTTTTTGGTATAATGACTCTGTATATTCCTTCCATCTTCTTTTGATGCTTCCTGCGTCATTTAATATTTTCCGCATAGAATCCTTCACTATTGCAACTTGAGGCTTGAATTTTTTCTTCAGTTCTTTCAGCTTGAGATATGCCAAGCATGTTCTTCCCCTTTGGTTTTCTATCTCATCTCTTTGCACGTGTCATTATAATACTTTGTCTTTTCGAGCCCCCGTTTGAAATCTTCTGTTCATTCTTTTACTTCATCATTTCTTTCTTTCGGTTTAGCTACTCGACCTTCAAGAACAAGTTTCAGCATCTCTTCTGACACCCGTTTTGGTCTTTTCTTTCTAATGTGTGATGTCCTTGATGTTCCACAACTCATCTGGTCTTCGGTCATTAGTGTTCAGTGTGTCAAATCTATTCTTGAGATGATCACTAAATTCAGGTGGGATATACTCAAGGTCGTACTTCAGCTCTTGTGGACTTGTTCTAATTTTCTTCAGCTTCAGCTTGAACTTGCGTGTGAGCAATTGATGGTCTGTTCCACAGTTGACCCCTGTGCTTGTTCTGACTGATGATATTGAGCTTTTCTGTTGCCTCTTTCCGCAGATGTAGTGGATTTGATTCCTGTGTATTCCATCTGGCGAGGTCCCTGTGTGTAATTGCCGTTTATGTTGGTAATAAAAGATATTTGCAATGAAGAAGTCGTTGGTCTTGCAAAATTCTATCCTGTGATCTCTGGCATTGTTTCTGTCACCAAGGCCGTATTTTCAACTACCGATCCTTCTTGTTTGTTTCCAAGTTTCGCGTTCTAATCACCCGTAATCATCAATGCATCCTGATCGCATGCTCGATTCAATTTCAGACTGCAGAAGCTGGTAAAAATCTTCAATTTCTTCGCCTTTGGCCTTAGTGGTTGGTGCGTAAATTTGAATAATAGTCCTATTAACTGGCCTTCCAGCAGGCGTATGGATAGTATCCTATCACTGACAGCGTTATACTTCAGGATAGTTCTTGAAATGTTTTTTTTGATGACAAATGGCAACACCATTCCTCTTCAAGTTGTCATTCCTGGCATAGTAGACCAGATGATTGTCCGATTCAGAATGGCCAGTACCAGTCCATTTCAGCTCACTGATACCTGGGATATCGATGTTTATGCGTTCCATTTCATTTTTGACTATTTTCAATTTTCCTAGATTCATACTTCATACCTTCCACGTTCAGATTATTAATGGATGTTTGCATTGTTTCTTCTCATTTTGAGCCGTGTCACATCAGCAAATGAAGGTTCTGAAAGCTTGACTCTATACAGGGTCATTAAGGTTGACTCTACTTTGAGGAGGCAGCTCTTCCCTAATCTTCTTTTGAGTGCCTTTCAACCTGGGGGGCTCATCTTCTGGCACTATATCAGACAGTGTTCCACTGCTGTTCGTAAGGTTTTCACTGGCTAATTGTTTTCAGAAGTAGACTGATGGGTCATTCTTCCTCGTCTGTCTTAGTCTGGAAGCTCAGCTGAAACCTTTCTGCCATGGGTGATCCTGAGGCTATCTGAATACTGGTTGCATAGCTTCCAGCATCAAAGCAACATGCAAGCCCCCACCGTACAACAAACTGACAGACACGTGAATCCTAGTAGTAATTTGAAAAGATATTTTATAGGATTATGGTAGTTAAGGACCTATGTTGTACCTGATAATTCACCAGACTTTTATTTTAAATTCTGAAATCTACAATCTTTTTTTATTCTCTGTTTTAACATTGATCCCTTAATTGTTGAATTGATTGGCATTTACATTTCCTCATTTGAATACCAAAAGATGACTTTGTAAAGCAGAAAATAATGTTATTAACTAGCTTGATTTATCTAGATTGTTATATCTGAAACACTAATGAGTTCAGAAACCACTAGTTAAATAAGCAAACCACTAAGTTGAAAACCGGAGTCATCCCAGGCACTTTTCTGATCCCATGACACCTCAAGTTATTCGTTGCATTTAGTTGGTATGCCTCTTTTGTCTCCTTTAACCTGGAACAGTTCCTTAGTCTTTGTTTTTATAGCCATTACTTTTTTGAAGAATAAAGGGCATTTATTTTACAGCTGTCTTTCAGTTAGGGTTAGTCTGAAGGTTCTTCATTTTTTATATGAATATTATGGAAATGATGTGTCCTCAGCACTGTGTATCAGTAGGCACAGGATATCTATTTGTCCCATTCCTGATGATGTTATCTTTGGTTACTTAGTTAAAATAGTGTCTGCCATGTTTCTCACTTTGGAAAGTTACTGTTTTCTTACTTCATAATTAATAATTATCTTGACAGTGTAAATATCCAGTTTGTCATCAAACTTCCACCATTAGTTTTAGCAACCAATGATGATTGTTCTCTGAATCAGTTATTGCTAGGATAGTTCCCAAATAGTGATTATCTAATTCCATCTTTCCTTCTTCATTTATTAGTTGTCATTCTTTTATAAGGTGTCACATTTCCTTCTTTATTTATATCGGTATGAACTTAAGGATTTGTACTTATCCCATAGTTATAATCCATTATCATCATATTTATTTTGATAATCAAAGTCTCAGATTTGGCCACTGAGAGCCCCTTCAAGTGCATTCGTTTTTACCCTGCCATAGCTATATTGTGGTTAAATGACATACAATAAATTGTACATATGTAAATAATATAATTTTTGTTTTCACGTATGTATACACCCATGAAACTATCATCCCAATTAAGATTATTAACATACTCATCACTCCAAAAATCTCTCTCCTACTTTTATTCCCAAGCAACCACTGATCTGTTTTCTGTCATACATTCGTTTGCATTTTTGAGAATTTTATGTCATAAATCATGCAGTATGTACTCTTTTGTCTGGCTTCTTTAACTGTTAAACTATTTAGCATAATTATTTTCAGAGTCATCCATTATTGCATGGATCAGTAGTTGATTCCTTTTTTTTTTTCTGTTTTGTTAGTTAAGAGTAATGGTTTTGAGAAGAAGGTGAGGATATATATATGATTTTTAAAAATAATTTATATTTGTTGTTGAGAATATACACAGCAAAAACATATCAATTTAAATTTCTACATGTACATTTCAGTGACATTAATTACATTCTTCCAGTTGCAAAGCCATTCTCATCTTCCTTTTCTGAGTTGTTCCTCCCCCATTAACATACACTCACTGCCCCCTAAGATTCCTATCTAATCTTTCAAGTTGATCCCATATAGATAGATCTTAAAAGAGCACAATGCTCAAGGCACACATTCTTTACTAGTTAAGCTAAACTATTGTTTGGTTTTAAGAAGACTTCAGGGAATATTTTTGGTTTAAGATTTAAAGATTATCTCAGGGCAGT